AAAAAAAAAAAAAACAAATTGAAAATGTTTTTGTATCATCGATCCTCTGCACCGGAAATCTGAAATACTAAGCAACAAAGTTTTCATCAACTAAGCTTGTCAGATGTACCCACGGATACCAGTATTCTACTGCCCGCCATTACTCTTCACCAATTCGTCCTCCCAATAGTAGTCAGTAGTGTGTAACTAACAAAAAAAAATACCTGTTATCAACGCTTTTATTCTGAGCACTAAGGAAGACGAAACGGAAGGAATAAAGTTGCATAAGCAATACAAAAATTATACAGCATAAATGTATTACATTTTTCTGCAGCATTAAAATGATGCAAAATTTTAAAGAAATTATAATATTCACGTGAACCACAGACATATATGACAGTATAAAAAGCGGTATATCTATTAAAATTGCTACCACAATCCAGTCCTTAAAATCTCCTGCCGTTAATCCGCAATAAACTTCCAGTACCTTGAAGCATTAGAGAACTTTAAAATAATTTCGTAAAAAAAAGCATCATTATCGCATAGATTCGCACAGTTACACAGTTATATGCAGTAATAAACACCAATAAATTATAGATGACTAATAGAAAACCACTAACAAACAGAAGCCTTTTTTCTTCCAAAACTCCAACTGCTTTAAGTTTTCAAAAATTTGTGTGAAAAAATCACTTTTTTTCATTCTGAAAATTTAACCAAATAATAATAATATTAGCAAAATAGATGAAGAATAAAGCGGTACAAATCCTTACTTTATACTCCTTTTACTCAATCACCCAATTATTCACTTATTCATTCACTCAGGCAGTCAGTCACTGAGTCAGTCTCCCAATCAGCTAGTAGTAGTCAGTCAGTCAGTCAGTCAGTCAGTCAGTCAGTCAGTTGGTTAGCTAGCTAGTTAGTTAGACACTTTAACGACTTAATCACCCGAAAAGATGAAAGCAATAACTAAACAGCTTCATCACTTCTCTCCACATCTCCTCTGCCAACCTTCGTCTTTTGCTCTCATCAAAAAATAACCAACAAATAAAACTGTGCAAATGTTATACAAATTGTAAACCCATTTAACTATTTAGGAAACAATTCTTACTCCTTTGAGGCTATGTCAGCTCATAAATTTACCTCAGTCAATTACTACTTGTAGAATAAGTTAAAAATCAAAATAAATGTCGTCAATAAAACATTCAAATATACAAATACAGAAAAAATACTAACTGTTCTCAAGTTGCAAATAGAAAAAATTTTTTTTCCTTCTTCTCCTTTATCGCTTTTTTCTTCTTCGTGTTATCTAAACGCCGGTAACAAGAAAAAAAACAAAATTTACTAACAAAACACTTAAAACTTAAAACACTTATTTGAATACTTAATGTATTTTTCACTTTGAATGCTTTAAAAAATTTTTTGTTCTTTTTCACAACATTTAACAATTCTGATTTCCAATTTTAGTGACTTCGCTAAATAAAATTT